TGTTTGTTCTTCAGGGTTTTTCACTCCTGCCTCACGGCGTCGACACACTTTGGAGTTTAAAGAACAGAAGCGTTGGTAAAAGCTGCTGATCCTGTTTTCAGTGGTGATTGTTTCTGGAGAACCTTCACCAACGCTCATGTAGCTCCTGCAGCAGCGTGTCCATCCTGATCTGAGCGTTCACACGATCAGGGTTCGTTCTGCAGGACGTCTGGTTTCCAGAACAGAAACAGCCAAAGACGACGCCGTGGTCGAAGAACCTCCTGCATGCTTCCAGTGGAGACGTCTGGAGGCTCGCTTCGCTTCCAGAACCTGTTCTCCATGTGTTCTTGCCGTTCTGACCTTTCTGTGGACGCAGCTGATCTTTCATTCTGAGTTTTGCTGTGATGTTTCTGTAAAGCGATCAGTGACGTGACTTCTGTGCATGAAAACAGAAAACAGTGCTGATGGCGGTCTGTCGATCAGAACGTTTAAAAAACATTCAGTGTCTGATTGCAAAGTAGACCATGTGCAGGAATCTTTTCAAAGCTTTTGGAAATACAGAAGACCAGATGGAGGAAGCCTCTGAAATGCTCCAAAGCTGCATTCTGTCTCACAGCCAGCAGGGGGCGCCAAAACAAGTCTGATGCATAGAAGTCTGTCAGAAAAGGAGCTTATTTCTCCCAGGATCTGTTAGCTCAGGTAGCACTGTCCTGATGAGTTCCTGGTCCTGGTCTCTTCCTTCCTGTTCCCTGTAACGCAGCAGGACGCGTTCCATTTAGAAGGAAACCGACGACAACTCAGAGGATGTTGTGAAGATCTCCGTCAAATCCACAGCTCACTTTTCACATCACATAAAACATACATTTCAGTGCTAAAATTCCAAACAGGAGGCGTCACCGTGGCCACGTCCGTCGTTTAAATGCAGTCTGTGCTGTGGGGGTAGTTAGCCTAGCTTAGCATGAAGACTGAAAATCGCCTAGCCTGATTCAAAGTTCAAAAACACGCCTGTGAGCGCCTCTAAATCTGTTCATGTCATTCATTAAACCTGCACAGAAACTCCAGCGTCAGATATTCTAGTTTACTCACGCTAACGTCGCCACGGTAACCAGGTAAGCAGGCTGTTAACGGAAACGACCGACGAGTCAGAGACGTGTTCGGACCAGAAGGACAAATGTTCGTGTTTATATCAACTTTAAGTGATGATATTTTGTGGTTCTGATTTCTCGAGTGTTGGATTTATTTGTATATATTTGAAATATGATGTTTCAGCCGTTCTGCTTATTATTATTGTTGTTGTTGTTATTACTATTGTTACAGTGGTTGCCATGGTAGCTGAAGAAATCCTCCGTCAGTTCAAAAAGCTTTATGGTCACGACTGTTACGACTGAAACACTTTGCCAAAGCTGTTGGGTCTGTTCAGAAATAAAGCAGTTGACATAGTGACGCTGGTTCGTGTTTTGTTTTGTGGTTCTGGCTCGTTGGGTCGACAGTCGTTTGTCTAATCAACACCAGGGGAGATTTTGCCCAACTTGCATAAAGTTGAAGTCAAGCTGAGCTAACACAACCCCGGAGCTTCAGTAGGCGATGAACGGGCCGAGAGAAACCGAGCGATCCTGTGGAAGCGTGAGGCAGCTCAGAGCATCGTCATAACGGCACTAATCGGTGAATGTAGTCGACAGATGAAAGAAGAAAATGAACATTTTAGTTGTTTAACTTCTCGTCTGTTCATTGATTGTTCTTTGCTGACTGTGTCAAATGTTGCTATTTGATAAAAATGTGATTATTGCATTTAATTAATAACAAAGCCTCTAATTAATTAGATTTTTTTTCAAACTTGCATCCCACCACCAGTATTGGTCTAATAGTCTAATATTGAATTGAACGACATTTTAGTTAAAAATGTCATTTGAAACACGTCTTTTAAAAAGATTTTACACATTAAAGAGGTTATTTAATCAGAATTTGTCCATTTCAAATAAAATGTAACCTCCTCAAATGCATTCATCAGAATCATGTTGTCTTCAACTGGATTCGAACCGGCCTCTGAGCAACAGCAGGCGCTTTAATACGGCTTTTATTTTGAAGAGCAGTGCTGGCTGCTGTTTCCTTCATTAGTTTGGACTTTACCTGCTGGATTTCTCTGTGCGGTTTACGGTAAAAGAAGCAGTTAACAGTGACGGACTGAGTAATGCATGGATCACTTCTGTTTCCAGCTGTTAGCTCCGTTAGGTAGCGTTGATAGAATAAGCTAGCTGGTAGCTAAATGGCTAATGGAGGAGAAAGTGGAGCCTAGGCTGGCAAACTACACAGTTTCTTACCTAAACTAACTTAAACACATATCTTCACATTCAGTTTACATTTCTAAATGGTTTCACACGAGACGTGGTGAGTACTTGAGATTTATCCTTTACAATGTGAAGATTTAACTCAACTACATGTTTTTCTCAGCTGGGATTTGAACCGGCGACCTCCAGATGGTTTCCAACTGTTAGCTCTGTTAGTTAGCTTAGCTGGGACGGGCTAGCTGCTAGCTCAAAGGTTAGCAGAGAACACAGCTAACGCCAGATGACGACAGTTTCCAGCCAAAACTAACTTTTACTAATATTTTCACTCACAGTTTGCATTTAAAGTGATCACTGACCTCCCGCCGTTAATAAATAAGTAGGTAGTACAGAGCTACTCGTTAGTTACACCAATAAGCAGGTCTGTACCTACTGTTAGCTCCGTCAGTTAGCGGAGATGGAACGAGCTAGCTGCTAGCTGAAAGGTTAGCTAGCAGCTAGTAAAGTTAGTGTCAACACCAAACCAAAACTTACTTTTACAAATATTTTCACAAACAGTGTGAATTTATAATTATTATCGCAGATCTGCAGCTTCGAGCAACACTAGAGTCTTTAAAATGGATTTTACTTTGAAAAGCAGCACAGGATGTTGTTTCCTTCATTAGAGTGAACTTCACGTGCTTCACCTGTCGCGGCTCGGTTCGGTTCACCGTCGAAGAGGCTGATTAACGGGACAAACGTGTACGAACATGGACGCTGAGCTCACGGAACCGGTTTGTGCCGTGATGAGGAGTCGACGTTCGAACAGAGAGACGGCTGTCAGCTCCGGTACCGGACACGGTGGAAGCAGAACTCCGTTAGCAGCAAGGCTGATGGTTTTAGTCGGAACAAAGTTCTACGGACACAGTTTTACCTTTAACTTCACCAGCAAAGTTAAACGTTTAAAGGTAAAGATTGTATAATTTAACTTTCTCGTTAGCATCTGAATGTTTCTGCTGTCCAGTTTGTTCCTTTAATTAGTGGGAAAAGTTTCCAAATACTTGAAACACGGTAATTGATTAGTAATAACCACTGGAATGTTAATTAGCCTGACGCCGGTCTCACTGACCGTGTTTAAATGGTTTGTTCCGTCTGGACTCGAACCGACGACCTCCGGCACAGAGCAGCTTCCTAAAACAGGAAACAAAGACACGAGGCGGAACTTACTGTGGCTATTATTTTGAAGGACACGACGTAAAGCGTGTGTTATTGCCGCTGTCTTTACGCTGAGCTGACGTTTGTCTCCGCCGAACTCGGTTCAAAAACCGGCGGAAAGAAGACGCGGTTCGTTTTCCGACCAGCTGAAGGATGAAATGAGAGAGAAGAACTTTTCTGAAACTGCTAGAGCTCTTTTATTTCATTCGGCAACGATGTAAATGTACGAGGAGCGTGTATTTAAGTACAGTTTTACATTTATTCTCCCAGTCACCGCTACTTCCCCGTTATTTCATATTAATGTAAAATGAACAAAAAGTAAATGGAGTCCGGGTACAGAGACATTATCTTTACTAACAGCATATGAGGATGTGTTATACAGTTACGTGGTTTATTTCTGATTCAGTACAGATTTATTTTTATCAATCTCATGAAACTTCAGGCAGTTTTCTGTCATTTTGTGTGTTTCTGTTGTGAAAGCCTGTCTGTGCTGCAGTACCGCTCCTCACCTGAGCAGCTCATTCAGAGAGGGGGGCGCTGTTTCCCCAAAACAGCAATATCACAGAAATAAAGGCTCATTATGATTATTATCATTATTTTTAGGGTTACATGATGTTTTTATGAAAAATGAAAAGTGAGAACGCTTCACGATTGTGCGTGTCATCCTTGCGCCAGGGGCCATGCTAATCTTCTCTGTATCGTTCCCAGTTTAGTACGTGTGTTACAGTCTGTAACACATCAGCTGAGTCAGCGCTGAGGAGGATTTGAAGACGTCCCTCGACCGGCCGGCAGCTGCAGGGTTCAGACCTGACAAGGAATCTGAAGCTTCCAGCAAACACTACAGAGGATCAGAGCCAGTCCTGAACACTGAGCAACTCTGAGCTGTAAGTTCTGCACCCACAGTGACACAAACGCTCTCTGAGCCACATCCTGGTTCTGGACTCTGGACTTTTTGTCTGAGTCCCAGCAGAGAAGAACGCTGGGATTTCTATGCAGAACAGCTGAGACAAAGAGACCTCCTCCTCCTCCTCCTCCTCCTCCTCCTCCACTCCCTGCTCTCAGACAGAAGCTTCCTCCTGCTGCCGTCACTTCAGTCCTGCAGAACAAAACCAGACAAACAGTGGATCAGAACCAGCAGGACACGGTTCTGCAGCTGTCAGGTCTCGGTTCTGTCTCAGCATGTTTATATCCTGCGTGTGGATCTAACGTGTGAACCTTCACTCATTCATGTCAGTGTTTCTGTGCGATCAGCTGAACTCAGTTGAATAAAACCACATCAGCTCATTCGACTCCTTGTTTTCTCTGTTTGCTTTGAGCTCGTGTTCTTGTCGTGTTCCAGAAACGATTTTAAACATTAAATTAAAGTGTAAATGGAAAATAAATGGAAGGAAGAGAGAAAAATCAAATGTTTGAAGAACTCAGTGAAAGGTGTTCAATGTGAAAACTGAGAATAAAGATCTGCTTCTATTATTGACATCAGAATAACAGAATAACTCCTGGCCTCTACGTCACACCAACGTCCCCTGACCCGGAAGTGAAGCTGTTGTAGTTCCGCCGTGTGTCCGCCAGGTGTCGCTGTGTGACCAGGCTGCAGCAGGTGAGTCCAGTTTTCATCAAAACGTTCATCATGTTAAAGGACCGTTCCCATTAAACGTGTTTCATTCTTTACTTTCATGAACCTGCAGCCTCAGAACCAGCAGCTCGGATTCACTTGTGGACACGTTCACACCAGAATTGGCTCAAAATCCCGCAATTTACCGTTTTTCTTTTCTTTTCTTTTCTTTTCTTTTGTTTTGTTTGTTTGTTTGTTTGTTTTTGCTTTCCGGCAAACTTTTAAACTTCCTTCACACGACTTCAGGCGTTTTCCTGAATCTGAAGGATTGACTGAAGTTCGGCTCGAACCAGCGATGAGCTTCTGCTCCAGACTTCAGCTCATCGTGAAGGAGACGAACTGGATGTATGTGAGTCTGAAACTGTCTGATTTGTGGTTTGTTGGTCAGCCGAACTTATTCAAAGGTCCGACCCAGTTCAGAAACACCCCAGAGTCGTTGAACAAACACTCATCAGTCGCAAACAAACAATACGACGTAAAATGAGATGATTTTTGAACGGAGTCTGGTTAAAGCGAACGAACCGCTGCTTTGATAGAACAAAAACAAACTGAAGAAAACTCAGACATGATTTACAATCAACATTTTTGTCTTGTGCATGGAGCTCTGTTTTCTGTGAGGAGACTTTGTCGACAGATTGATGAATCTCGTCACTGACGGAGTTTTTGTCCAGTTTTTCTGAGTTATTCGGTTCATATTTATTAAACTGCAACCAGCCGAGAAACAGTTCAAACTCCTGTTTCCTTATTCACGTGGTTTCCAAGTTTACATGAGTGAAATGTGAAATAAACCACCAGTGGAGTTTTTCTTGGAAAATAGTTTGGTGCCGAATTTCTTGAAATATCCCAAATTCTGTAAATAAAGTGTGAACAGATCACAGAAGGTTTGTGTCATCAGCAAACAGCAAGATGAAATAAAACTCTCATCATTTTAAACGGAGTCTGGCGACCTTTAGTTAGGGCGATGCAGAAGTTCAACACACAGGAAGAAGCTTTTATTGTGAAGGAATCAGACGAAATGAGACTTGATGTCTGAGAGTCCTCCTGGTCTCTGGTCCTTTTGGTCTCTGGTCCTTCTAGTCCTTCTGGTCCTTCTGGTCTCTGGTCCTTTTGG